ACATTATTAAAATCAAAGTATTTCGTCGTAAATATCTTTGAATGTGATCTTAAAAATTATCAATTTTCAAATATTGAACTAATCATCTTTAAGGGATCATTTTTCTTGCTATTTTTAATATTTAATTCATTGATTTCATCTTCGTCATCACTCTTATTGTAACAATGAAAAGAAATGATCGTATATCGTAATAAAAAAAGTTTACCTCTTAAAACACATTCTTTTAAAATCATCTTAGTACAAATTCGCGTCTTCATTGTGTCATATCATGAAAAATCACATTAGTTAGAATATCGTCTGTAGAACGTATAGAATTAAAAAAAACAATTAAACATTTATTGTAAAGAAAGATAATGCAAAATAGAATAAATATACATAATATAACAAATTATGTATAACATATCGTAATAATTGTAATAACGCATTGTAATACATACGATATTGTAAGACAATGCAATCCTCTAGGAAAAAGATACTGTTGGTTTGCCAGATCGCAACTGAACAGGTGCTGCCATCTATTTCATAACCTCTATATAACAGTTACACATTGATAGAGAAAACGTTAGAAATCTGCAATTGTAGCAACGTTCCATGAGATCACGAAATAATAAGAATTTTTCTTATATTTAATATTATGATGATTAAACAATAATTAATTAAAACACATTATTATACATCTATGCACATGATATTATAATAATCGAATAATTTATATGCATACGAATTTTTATAACACTTCATGGAAAATCGTCTGAAAAGAATATATTTCTTCTCCTTAGAATATAGATATGTGAAGCAGCGATCTGATCACTATTGTATATGCAAGTATCATAGTATGATTACTAATATACTTGTAATTAATCGAACATTATAAAACTTCTGTCAATAATTAGTGAGAATTTTTTCCATTTTCGAATATTATTATTTTACTTAAAGGATTTCTTAAAACATTCTAATATTTTTGTTAATATATTTATTCAAATTCTTATATTAATTTAGTATATCTGAAATTAAGTATAATAGTCATAATATTTTTCAATTAAGTTATTTTACAAATTCTTATCAGCGAATATTGTCACAATCGCAAATCCTGATTCATTTCCCGTAAAAAAAACTCTGATATTAAAACTAAGCATAAATTATTCTTTTTTGAATCTTCGAAAAAATTGATTGTCCGGGTGAACTGCATATTGTTCATTTTTTTTTTATGAATTATCACAAAGTCTCTCCTATTTTCGCATATCGTTCCCCTTCTTTCTGAACGATTTCAATATCCAGACGTTGTAATTTCGCCCATTTTCATATCATAATTGATATGGAAATCGTGTATAGGATGATGATTGGATGGCCAAGATGGCGGTAGAAGAAAGTTCAAACTGCGAAAATTGATTCCAAGGTTTTAACAATGCAATTCGTTAAAAAAAATAACAAAATATTATTTCATTTTCATTATTCAAAAAAAGATCGACGATACGGACATATCGAGATAAAGTGAAATTGAATGATTTGAAAATATTTTTATATAGCATTGGATCAAAAAATTCTGTTTGTTTATAATTGATATTTCAATTGGAAGGCTATATCAGCGAAATTATTACTATTTTTTTTATTCCATCACGATATATTCATCATCCCTTTGTCCTCTGCCAATAATAATGCATGTGATTGATAAAATAGAGTGAGAATGCACATTTTGTGTGACAAATGTATCATTTTCTTCGAAAATACTACATGCTTACTTATGAAGAAAGGGATATTTCCATTTCATATTTCTTGATATGGCGACTCTTTTATCTACTTATTCCGAAAGACATTTAAATTCTCGATACGTCAAACGAAGAATGCATCTTCTACAAGAATATCAAAAATATTTCGCTCTAAATCTGTAACATCTGATTAGACGTGATGTAACAAAAAGATCGCGATTTTCTGCATGGAAATCTTCATGTAAAGAAAAAAGATAAGAGAAGAGAAAACGAATATATAGGACAATATTTCCAAAGATATCGTATTATGATAAATTATAAAATGTAAAATTTAAATTTTATTTACATTAGAATAGAAAAATAAAGAATGGAAGAGAAGGAAAAGAGAAGAAAATATTTCAAATTTATAATAACTGTTTATCCTTATTTTGGCTATTGCTGAATCCTTCAAGACGAGACACAAGAGTTTGTTTTTCTTCGTTATAAAGTTTTGATTATTAAATAATAAAGAAATCTTGCACTGTTTCCTTTCTTCTTTTTTTATTATCTCTTCACTGCATATTAGAAGGAATAAAAGACAAGATTTTCTTCATCAGTAAGTAGAAAATTTCTAATACGTATATGAACAAATAAACTACTATTTTTTTTTTTTCAACATTGGTCTTTCGTACAAACCAACAGACACCTTATATTAGAATCAGAATTCAGAATCATCTGAACAATAATAAGACTCGAACACGAGGATCATTCGAGATTGAAGAGAATTATGTGGCTATTAGAAATAGTATGATACTGGAAATATAAGAAGAGAAGATGAAAACAACATCAGGAGAAAAGACTGTGTAGCATATCTCCACGAAGAGTTTTGCAACATAAAACGATCCATCGTTGATCCATCTTGTAATCTTTTCATTCAAAAATCATTATATTATGAAAGCTCGATTGCCCATCTCTCAATATCATTGTCATGTTTCGTAGAAATATCTTGTTTTCCGAATCTAATCGTCGAAGAAGATCTTTAATAAATAAGAATAGAGAAATATTCACTTAGCTTATTTTAGAAATTCGCAAAGATCTGTTCTATCATCTAATATATCTAATTAATTAAATATTTAATTATTCTAATATTTCAGCACGTGCTTAGAAATGCAAATGGCGAAGCAATTGTTAACATTTATAAATTTTGGATGGAAATTACAATGGCTGGATACATTTGACACGTTTGTTTCACTTTTCAACATTTGTTCTTCGCTTTTATTAAGAGTTTATGTAGGAGTAATGAAAAATTAACTGTTATTGAAAGATTTCACTATTTGACTATTGAGTGAATTCTTAAATTGTATGGAAGATTTTGAAAGAATTCGATCCAAGGATTTTATTTTCGTGCATCACCATGCTAACAAATTATAATAAATTCATAATGTTGCTTCAGAGAATTTTTGCTCAATCTGGCAAAACTTTGAAAATTGTTTTTCTCTCTAAGAAATTAGATACATTGTCTGACAAATATTTATATACCATGAACATTTCTGTTAATTCAAAATTGAATGAATTTATCGATTTCATAGAGCAAAGAGTAAAGTACAGCTATAATAACTGAAAGTAAGTCGAAAGCTAATCTTCAACACGTGATATCTGTTCGCTTTGCATTAAGAACTATTATTTACGAAATTATTAATATCCATTCCCATTGCAAGAAACAATTAAATAATTTCAGAATTGTTTCAATTGTCTCCGTTCAAGGTATAATAGTAAAAATTATATCACACATATTTATTAGAATTAATAAGAAGAAACAATAAAACATACAATAGAAACAAACCGCGAAAACATTCTAAACAAAGAGTTAAATGGTTCTAGCATGCATTCTTGCTTTTCCAATTTTTATTCTAATTTTTTTAATATAATTATAATTCTTCTAAAATAAATGAAAATATTACCTCTTTAAACATGTATTCCCAGACTAATTTCATCATTAAAGAGTTTTACGAACGAGTGAAGGTCTAAAATTCCGCGATTTCCATAATGATACACTCCAGATAAACTAATTTAACTATTTAATGATAAAAAATATCACAAATCGAATTTCTTAATATCCTCTTTTGAATGTATATAATTTTCTCTGATCTAGAATTTCATAAACTAAAACTTGTGGATTTATTAATTTGAGCAGCTTAAAAAAAGAAGAAAATAGATGAAAAAAATAGGCATTAAATATAGAATAAGTTAAATATTAGAAAAATTAATATGATAAAAAGTGCGACTGAATTGAGTGCTTAGGAATATCCTATGTTGATAAGAATTCTTTGCAAATGATCAGCTTATCATATTGTCACGAATAATTAACCTTAACACGCAATATCTTGGAAAATTGAAGACAATTGTAACAATAAAAGCGAACTGAATTTTATGAATCGTGACGAATCGAATTCATTGTTGAATTACTTTTTAATTATAAAATAAACTCGACGAATCAAGAAATTAATATTACTTAATATAATAAAAGAAAGTTCTCTCTAAAAATTCAAAGTTTGTAGAAAATATTTATGCATAAATATGAAATATTTGATCGTGATTTATTCTGAACACTATTGTAGATAGGAAAAATTCGAGTTTTTGAAAGCTTCGTCAATCCTTTTAGCAATTTTTTTTAAATAACAACTGGATTCCATTTTGCAGAACGATCTTATATCGAAAAGACGGATCGGCTGATATTTGTCCAAAATTCAGATTGCTGGTTTCAGAAAATGTTGAAATGACAAATTTCGATTCAAACTTATCGCACGGTTGTAATTTCATTTTTCTCAAACAAATAAGGAATTTCGCAAAATCACGATTAATTATTATTTGTCGTTGATGTTTTATGTGATCAGCAATATTATTTGTGAAACGATGCAATTATATAGTGGATTGTAAAAATTTCAGGCCGGTTTCTTTAATTTTTCTTCCAAAAGAAAAGCCTTAAGAAATTTTTATTAATGCTATGTATAAAAGTATTATACATAGCTACATCCATATTTTAATAATGCCATGTATTGCATAAAAGAATAGAAGCTATAAGAAAAAAGCATTAAGAAATTTTTATTATTAATATAATTTATTAATTTTATTTTTATTATATATATATGTATGATAATATTATACAAAAACATATTGCTATATAAAAGAAATCAATACTAAATTCATACGCATTTATTTGAAAAATATGCTATATTAGCATGTTCAAAATTTCCTAGCCAATATTTATTACAAAAAAGCCAACAAATGTTTACATTCGAATAATTATTATTTCAGTTGGTAGTTAGCCGCTAAATCGCAAATATGGTATGGAAAGACACCTGTTGAAATAAGCAAAATTGTTATAAAATTGTCTTTAGAAGATTCTTTTGTGAAATTGCTTCAATATTATTTGTTGGGAAGAATAAATGATATCGCATAGAATATGATAAAAAATCGCCCATGGAATGAAAGTAAAACGAAAATCAGTTGCGGAGCAAAAGAAAAAAGAAAATCAATATCAGCTAAATTATAAGTTGAAAATCTTTCTAATATTAGTAAAAGTATTATCACAAGAAGGTTATATATGATGCAGGATTATTTCATTAATAAGAAAAATGAAATAGCTTAATATTTGTCAAAAAACATTAATATTTTCAAGAGAATCTAAATTTTTTTGGAAGCAATGGAAGACGTTATATGGAACACTTCAGTTGGCACAAGAAACAATACCAAGTACCAAACATCAATTAACTTGAACTTGATAGAGAAAGCATTATGGAGTTTGAGGAATTTTCTCTGCTCAAACAGTCGCTCCTATTATAAAAGTTGAGGATATCATGAATGATATCACATATAAAGAAATTTCAAAAACTCATGTTACTATATACTGAAAGAAAAATGCCAGAAAATTGGTACTTTCAATAAGACAATGATCCTAAACATACATAGAAAATTGTATAAAGTAAAAAATGTATAGAAATTTCTGCAAATGAAATACAAGTTTCAAACTAATCTGTAAATTTAATTCAATAAAACATATTTGGGGAGAGATGAAATATCCAATGAAAAAACACATTACATACAAGTTTCAACATATACATATAATACACATAATACAACGTTTTTTCAAAATTCAATAGAAGGATGGAATAAAATACCATTATGTGATTATATTATTTGATTAATTGAATCTATGCCTCATCTCTATGCTGCTGTAATTATCACAAAAAGCATGGTTACGAAATAGTAATTATAATATGTTGAATAATATAATGGCAAAATTGTTACACAATGAAAAACAAGTATTGTAACACATTGATATCAACGACATCGTTTTATCTTCCGTTTGGAATGACGCAGCCAATGAAGAAATATTAGGGTATCTCATAAGTTTCTTTCGTCTTAGGAATGATTTTAACTGGCTACTTTTATATAAACATGCAGACATATATATTATCCGTTTATAACATTGGTTTCAGCTCCAGAGTTCTTTTAATCACCATTCAATATAGCCAAAAGAGGCATTTGCAACATGTTATGCTTCATTGATTTAAAAAAGGTAATAGTGCTGCAAATGATGCACTGCAGACAAGATTTGTATCATTTATAGGAGTAGCTTTATGACTATTAAGACCATCTATAATTGATTTAAGAGATTTAGAGCTGGCAGTTTTGATTTGAAAGATGAAAGTCCCAGCGGTGACAGATACAGATCTTATCAAGGCCTGAACTGCTATGATAGTAGATGCCATTAACATTCCCAGGACAACACCTATAATATAATAACCTGATCAGGATAGGATATGTCAGTCGATGTGAAGTTTGAGTTTCACAGTTATTAATGGAGATCAGTCTTATGAACCACATCTCTACGTGCAATTTGTTTAAAGAGGTTTGTCAATAGACTTGAATTTTGTATCAAAATTGCATTTTGATCTAAGAACTATAGACCTTCAACTGTCTTCACAAGAAGAACATTGAAGAAAGTTCTTTGGGGAAAATATAGTCTATTATGAGCTCCTTCTTCAAGAATTCTACAAAATATTGCAATCAGCTTGATAAATTGAAAGTCAGAACAGAAAAACGACTAGAATTGGCGAACAGATGAGACGTTTTTCATCACGACGATGCAAAATCGCGTTGGCTGTAAGAGAAAAGCTGTTACAGTTTGATTGGCATCCTTTGTACTCCCAGATTTTGTTTTATCCAACTATTACTTGTTCCTGTCATTAAAAAATTCCATGAATGGAAATTGAATGAATGAAATGAAAATGCATCTTTAGGAATATTTTGCTCAAGTAAAGCTCAACAATTTTGGAAAAAGGGAATAATGAGACTTCGTGAGAGATGGAAGAAGATAATAGAGCAGAACGATTCATATATAACAATAAATCAACTTTAAACAATAAATATGTATTCATTTTGTATCAAAAAAAAAAAGAAAGAAACTTATAGGACATAATATATAATATATAAATTGTAAACAAAAGATGAGATTGTAAAAGTATTAAAAGACTACCTTCAAAAATCAGTGAAGACTAGTCATAAAAGATTAAAAATCATTTGAGCAGAAAGAATTATAGTTTGTTGTTCTTGTGTGATATTCAAAGTTGTATTTTATAGAGTAATTTTTACAAGAATTATTCTCATTAAAAAGTACAAATTTATTGCTCATAATAAGAATATTGAGATAAAGAGATACCGATTGATCATGTGAGTTATTTTTATTTAAACTGTGTAATTGCCATCATCTGAAGATGATAATTTATCAGACAAAATGGCGAAATCTGGTAAGGATAATTCTGACTGTTTTGATAGTTTAATAAGTAATGTTGAAATTAATCATTAAAATGATTGATTTTATGTCTTTTACGAGTGCCAAAATAAAATAACTAATGCGAAAGTGCTAAACTGAAGCAAAATTGAAGATTTTTATAGGCTTTTTGTCACTGGATGTTGTCAATGGAATTTTTTAACATTTCAATAAACGAAAAAATCTTATTTACAATCAAGAATGGTTTCCAAAAATGAAATAAAACTTCTGTTTGGACTGGTTTTATAAACGACATTGGTGAAATTCTTCTATCCGTGCATTTGTATTGATCTCAGGATCCATTGTTTGCTCAAACATTCTCGCGGAAAGTATGAATGTTCTGAAGTTTAAAAAATATTATAATCTACTCGAAATATCATGTATCGAAATGAATTATTAATCCCATTCTGCGGATGAATAATATTCAGGCAATATTTGAAGCTAAACAAACATGAATATGGTATAAAAATTGTTTAAATTGTGCTGCGATTATGGATATACCTATAGTTTTTGTGTCTACAACATTATTTAATAGGATTGTAATGAATTTATATAAAAATATTTCATATTTTTTATGTACTGCTACGCCAATGTGGATTTGGCGAATACGTTAATAAAGAAGAATATGTATTTCAACAGATATAAGGAAGTTATTGTCAAAGAAAATAGTAATTATAATTACAATTTGGAAATGGAAAAATAAAAGGAATGTTTTCATCCTTCTTTGAAAAAAATGATAAATATAAAAAGAGAGAAGTTTGTTGCGAAAAATGATCATTGAATACAGTACAAGAAAAATTGTTACTGATCTTTCTAATCAAATGAGTGCGTACAGCAGCTCGTTGATAAAATAGAAAATTTTCGAATTTTTTTTAAATGCTGCTGTTGCCTTGTTTATGTTCCAAAATGTAACAGAAAGAAAAATAGTCAGTCATGATATTTCATTGACAGATGGCGCTCACATGGCATTCAAATGAAGAAATTCCAATCCAGATCCAGAAATATCCAGCAAAAAAAAAAAAGTAATAGCATAAATGCAAAAACATTCGGGCGCAAAAACAGCTAGAAAATTAATCAAACAAGTCGATTTTTTGTCATACGTGTAAACCATATCTTTGCTTATGGTGTTTTAATAAATCCCATTGAAATTGTAATATTTATTTTTTGAGATCTTACCAGTCTCATGCTAATGTACATATTCTTTAAAGGAACACGTGTGAACAATAAATAGTTGATTTATTTTATGCAATATACTTTTATATATTGCATTAATAAAAATTTCTTAAGATTTTTGGGAGAAGAATTGAAGAAACCATTTGATTGGAAACTTTTACCAGTATGAAGAATTTATCGCAGAGTAAAAAATGGACAAATGATAATCCTTGAACATTCGAGAATTACACGAATATTTCGTGGAGGTCAAAGCGATTCAAAAACTCTAAGATTACGATAATCCTATTACAGAAAATCAGTTTCGATATTAAAATAGAAAGAATGAATGAATGAATGATTTTTTTTCGTTTAAATATTTGATTTTCTTGGACTTATCTTTTTCGATTTTCATCAGGATTAAAAAATTCCTTGTTTAGGAATTGTTCTTGTTAAATGTATTTAAATGTATTTTAATTTTTGTTTTTTTAGTATGTTTTATTGTTTCTTGTTGAAGAGAAAAAGAATGTATGCGATGCAAAATTTTCTATTTTGTTATGTAATTTTCTAATATTAAATAAAGACTTGTATTCCAAAGAATGATTGAATTGCGAATATCTTTATCAAGCATGTAATAGAGGAAAATTCACAATTCTTTCTATGTCTTGAGAAAATGATTTAAATTCCAACATGAGTGGCAAAAGATAAAAGTTTCCACATGGCAAATATTGAAAGAAAATGTATTGCATTCTTTTATTCACAAAAAGTTGAAGAATTAATTTCAGCGGATTATTTTCAGAGACTGTCATTTTAACAAACAAATTTACTATATAATATTATTGATTAGATGAAACTATATTCATATATATAATATATATATATATTTAATATTCACAGATATGAATAAATGAAAATCGACACTGCATAATAAAAAGAAATTTTCAAAGACAATTTTTGATGAATGTATGGCTATATTATAATAAATTAATTAATAATAATTAAGGACCGAATTTCTTATTGACAAATCTAATTGCAAAATCCTATCTATAAATAGGAATCTAATTGATATCTCTTTTCATGGAAATTAATTTGAATGTAATACAGAATTTATAATTTATGGTAAGATATGAATGAAGATATGAACATTTTTGCAATGATGTGTAAAAGAAAAATTTTGAAATATCAAAAAAATGGTTATCTAAATCTTCAAAATCCGCTAAAGTCATGTGAAGAATTTGATACACAGATGGAAATCAGATAAAAATGTTTTAAGAATATTAAAAATAATAGAGGATTAATGAAAAGTATTAGAAAATATATATATAAAAAAAATGTTATTTTATTATAGAAAATGAAACATAAAAAATATTTTAATATTGTAATATGATAAGATTTAAAAAATAAGTATAAAATACTGAAAATTTCAATTAAGAATTGACTTTTCATTTTTTCTGTTTTATAGTGA